ACCTTCTTTTATTTCTGAGATGTAAGATGGGGTGATATCTGTAGCATAACATCCCATTATTTCCCTTCCTTTTTTCTTAGCTTTCAAATGGAATGATATTTTTGATATAAGGAGTTCATGATCAGTCCCACAGTCAGCACCCGGTCTGGTACATGCTGATTTGATTGCATTCCTCCATCTCTTGCTACCTATTATATAATCAATCTGATTTTTATAATTTCCATCTGGTGATGTCCATGTATATAGTCTTCGTTTATGTAATTGGAAATATGTATTTGCAATAAAGAGGTTATTTGAAATGCAGAATTCCACTAGTCGTATCCCAGCATCATTTCTTTTCCCAAGACCATATCTTCCAACATGTCCTGGAGTCTCTTCTTTTCCTACTTTTGCATTCCAGTCACCAAGAATAAAGAGTGCATCTTTTTTTGGTAAATTATTAACTGTTTCTTGAAGCTTTTCATAAAACCCTTCAATTTCTTCTTCTGTCGCTTCTGTAGTAGGAGCATAAACTTGAATGATTGACAGATTGACTGGTTTTCCCTGCATCCTCAAGACTATGATTCTGTCACTAACTGGTTTATAACCCAAAATAAAATTTACTAAATTCTTTTTTACAATTAGAGCCACTCCATTTTTTCTTAAGTTATCATGTCCAGAATAGAAGATCCTAAAGTCATTTGAATCAAAGTGTCCCATTCCTATCCATTTAAGCTCACTGACTCCTAACACTTCTATCCCTATTCTTGTCATTTCACTTTTAATTATGTCTAGTTTTCCAGCATACATGCTTCTCACATTCCATGTTGCAAATATGTGTTGTTTGAAGAAACTTGGAACTTTCTTTTCGTGTTTGACTGCATCAATGATTAAACTCCCTTTCAGCTTTGACTTAATCATGCCATTATGTTCAATCTTAGTCAGTGAAGTTCCTTGTTCGTCCCCAGTAGAAGTTAGAGTGCTTTCGAACCCGAAGGTCTCATCCTCCAACACTATATCTCTATTATGAAATTCCTTGTCCATGTAGTTTTCTTGGCAAGAGTTGAGGAAGTGGTTTGCCATTGCCTTCTTCCTTGTTATTTCGATTATAAGTGATAAAATCGCTACTCACCCAAGTTTCCAGCTACTTCATAAGAGTAAAGTCAATGACCGTTTCTATGGCTACGCCATAGAACACATTTTGAAGGTTAGGAAAATTTGATGGAACGGCCATAATTCAAAAACTATAAGGTGTATCGAGATGAAATTTAGCACAAAGTTAATAGTTAATGTCCTCTCATAAACAACCGAATATTTTTCGGAAATAACTAGCAGGAATCCCACAATGACTTGTCGAATTTTTACCGAAAGTTGTTGAAATCTTCAAAACTGTTACTCCTACAATTCCAAAAATTGGCAAATGTACTTACAGCACAGATATAATTCAAACACCGTGAAGCCTGTCAGTCTGTCTGCCGACATAATTAGAAATTTATCGCTAAGTTCGAATATCTTTCCAGACGTCATAACTTTTCAACGAAGTATCCATTTCAAGAACCCTCTTGACTTCTGATTTCAAAAACTGTATAACACTTGTCACTTCACTTAATATTTAATATTAGAATTCAATCCAAAATAGAGCTAAAAATCCTGCTGCTTCTATTCCGCTTTTCAATTTTCAAATAATGATTATAATGAGATAGCTCAATTGTTGGCCTACAGAAAATTGCCAATAATCATTCTATGCAAAAACCTCCTTTTTATCCTTTTATTTTTACAACAATGCAAAATGTGGGCAATATGTTAAGAGTGATGCTTCCCAGGAAGACTTTCTATGGAAATTTGGCCCCCATTTAGGTGTTAAACACACAAATAAAATCTGGAAACTCCAATTGCCCTTTCAGCAGGTGCAAACCACAATTAATAACCAGTGTTCAAAGGTTTTTATCCACAGATAATTCTAGATTTTTGTGTTAAATTACTAAGTTACTAAATTACTAAGTTTTGTGTGTTTAATATACTTTGAAGTCAATTTCAGTTAATCAACTTTTTGAATAATTGACACACTATTGTATTACCTATTTTTGTAGATGATCTCAAACTCAAACTTTTTAATGTAGAAACATATTTACATATAAATAAAAAAATTATACTGATACCTAGTATTTGGAAATGTCCTGATAGATATTTTAATGAGAAACTGAATTAATTCTGCATTGTATTCCATATGAAGTATGTCATGATGCAACACACACAGATTTTAGAAAATACTCTAATGTGAAAATGGTCAATATCTAATTTTGCTAAACAATAACTTACTGTAATATTGCTTGCATCAACTAGTTCTTAAAAACAGCATCACAAAGGAACAAACTATTTAGTCCAGAATTAAAATAAATCCATCTTCATTGATTTAATCTTTTGTTTTCTAATTGTACAGAACAAAAATCTAGTAACAAGTTGTATAACATTCTTGCTGTTATATGTTTTTGTTAAAAAAACTTTTATATTATTAATTTAAGCAAAAATAAAATTGTGTGGGGTGCCTTCTGTTATCAGATTTTGTTATAAAAAGGTTTTATATTTTTAATTACTATAAAATGACAAAAAGCTTAATTTTGAGAGTAGGGATAAGTTTTATGAAAAAGTGTCTTCATTAAGTCCTACCTCTCTCAAGATAGAGGGGGATCATGTATCTCCCTACCCTCTCAATCTTTTACCACCAAAATTTAATAGCACCAATTTCCCTCATATGCAAGCCACCATGCCAAAGTCATTTGTTAATCTTTACCCTATCCTGAGATATTAAGCAAAATAAATGCTAACACACACAGAATTTTGTTTTGCTGTTTTTTTGACTTTTTTAGATTCAGGAGGTCTCAAAAACATGAAGATTTGTAAAAAGACTGGGAGGGTCAAATTTGACACAATTCCAATACTTTCCTTTGTTATGTATACATAATAGCCAGGAAAGTAAAATCAGAAGCTAAAGATTCTATTACTATTAAAACTTTTACTGTGTGTTAAAATTTTAAAGCGAAAAGCTTGGAGATTATATTTATACAACAATAAAGATATAAACAATGATAATTAAAAAGTTTCTTTCTCCTCCAAATAAATAATTTACTTTTTTAAAAAAGGAGGAAGTGTTTTATTTTAAAGAAAATGTGTGTTAACAATTTAACTTAAATAATTAGAAGTTATTGTTTTAATAGAGTTAAAAGTTAGGTCAATTGAAAAATATCCAGTACATCTTTAAATATGCCATTAAAAAGTTATCATAGTTCACATAACACCTACAACAATATAAGTATATGATTGCAGTTCTCAATCATATACTTATGTGAATCAGGATTTTTATACTATAATGCAACAAAAAGATAAATTCAAAAGTAGATTGGATGCAGACACAGATATAAGACCAACTATCATCCATTCAAACAAATCTTAAATGTATGTAGTTTTTAAAATAACTATATCTTTTATACTGAATATAATTAAGGGCAAAGGACTGTTACTAAAATGGAAATGAAATATAACAACTATTAATACAGAATACAGATTCTTTTTAATTCTATTTAAATACTTAAAATCATACTCACAGAAATATATAATGTTAAATATTGACTTTTAGTTTTTGTACCACTAACAACTTTCTTTGTTCATATAAAACTTGTATTATCCAAGTTTAAATCATGTAATTATATAATTCAGAAGCAGAGAAATTCCATTCAAAAATATTTGAATAGTATTCCAATAGGGAAAAAATCTGAATATATTTGGTATAAAGGAACACTCATATTTAAAACAATAGCATAAAATACTGCATATTCTATTAGTCAACTAAAAATTAAACAGTCATTTGTTGTTTTTACATTTAAATACACAATTTAGAGAATTGAAGTCCTCCTCTGGTAACTTTCCAAGGTGTATTGTTCTTTGTTTAAAAAAAAAGCTTCAGTCAACAACGATATACATTTTGATGCAAGATCATCCTGTAATCACTACATGTAATTTGAAAAATAGTTTAATTTATAATAATAAATTTTGAACATCTTCATTATTCATTAAAAAAACCTTAAATTTTATCATCACACAAACTGCTCTTCTAATTTCTCATTAAACAAGAATGTTTTATTTGTTTTTCTGCAATTAGATAATTGACAAGCTTAACTACAAAACTCATATATAGGATATCAATTTTTTATTTAATAATAATAAATACATACCCAGGAACAATAGAAAGAAGATGATCGTCAACTGATAAATGCCTTGTCCTAAAATATTTTTCATCATTGTTCGCGATATAAGAGGTTTCATTCTCCCATAAGGTTTCCTTAACAGTAATTCTGCAGTTGGAAGCTCTGTAGCCAAGGCAAGAGATGCTAACGTATCCATAATTAAATTCACCCATAACATCTGTACTGCTTTCAATGGACTGTCCTGCAAATGAAAGCAACAAATATAAATTTAAATTTACTAAATTTGCAAAAAATGTTCAATTTTAATAAGAATGAAAATAAAATTTGATAAAAAAAAATTTATCTGTATCTACACCATAAACTAATATTAAAACTTTTAGTAATTAATAATTTAGTAATTAGAAAAAACCTGAAGTTTTTTTAATTATTAAAAACTAAGAAAAATTGTCAGCTTATTTGCTTAATCATATATTACAGTATGATAAGATTAGTAGAGAGAAATCTTTTCCAATATTAACAAAATTCAATAAAAAATTCAAAAATTACAACCAACCTATATTATTTTCCTGTAATATTACTTCCTTACAAGATCTAAACTTAAAAATTCTTTAATAGAACTTTTAGATTAAATTAATGTACAGGTAACACTTGTATAATGTGGTAGGTTCCACAAAAATGTCACATTATAAAAATCTCATAAAAAGTAGGTTTACATCCCAAAGCAATTTTTTTAAATATAAATTTTATCTAGTTTACACACTATATAAAATTTTTATTACAGTTTTATTTAATTCAGAAAATTTTTATTCAAAACAGTTTTATTTAATTCAGAAAATTTCATTTTAACAAAACATCAATTACAAAACAAAAACAAACTCTTCAATCAAGCCTTGAATTGTATTCCAGTAACCTCACTGGAATACAATTTAAGGCTTATTGAGGTGTTTATTATATCATTCCAGTCTACTAAGTAGTGTTTTAACTCAAAAACAAACTTATTAAAATTTGTAAAATAAAAAAATGTACATAATCTTTAATTATACACAAAAAAATTTAGTTGTCTTCATTGTTATCTTCTAAAACAACATTATACAAATATTTTTTTATTTTCCAATGGCTTTTTTTGAAAACTCTTTCTGCCCTGTTGACAATAAGAAAGCCTTTTTTGAGCAAGCCCATTATGGGTTTGGCCAGGCTCACAATGAGACAGCAGGGTGATGAGAGATGGGGGGTCTGGCTTATCTAATTGAACCAACCCTGAAAAATTCCTAGGGTTTTTTGACTCATCCAGATTCAATCCCAGATCCCCAGAGTGGTAGGCTGTCATCTTAATCTGGCCATTTGACAGCTGGATGGTCATCAAATGGCTGGATGTCTTTGGGTCAATGCAACATATTACCCTATATGATATCATTGTGAGATAAGTCAGGAATACCAAACTGCAGTACTGCTTAATTGGCACAAAATCACAAGATTTGATCTCTAAATCTTTAAGGAGGGCTTTTAAAGAAAATAAAGATATAGACCAGGGGTGTCCAACCCGCGGCCCGCGGGCCGCATGCGGCCCAAGGTAAGTTCCAATGCGGCCCAATAAACGTGTAAACAAAACCGACAAAATGTTTTAATTTATTTTTATTATTTATCTATTTCAACGGCATAAACTCAAAAAAAAGTATCACAAAGCCGTAAACCTTTATTCATATTTAATTTTTGAGTGTAAAGAAAATATTTTCGAATACTGTACTTGGAGATGTGTGAATGCGGAAGGATTACTAAATAAAGCTGGAGTTGTGACTCAAAGGATTATAGACCCAAATTTGGGAAAAGGAGGGAAAGATGAGAAAGGACAAAAGATGTAGTAGTGAGGAACGTTAAATAGATCTTCTTTAAACAAATAGAGAGTCCTTAGGAACCCGTAATTTTTCAACCTTTTTCACTTCTTTATCTTTTGTCCTTTGCCTCTTTTTCCCCGCACTTGGATCTATAATCCTTTGATTTACAGCTCCAGCTTTATTTAGTATTTCTTCCAACGTTGCAAGATTTGGCTAATTTGCCCAAATGTGGAACTAATTTAGAATCATCTAAACAAATGGTCATTTAAATAAACGTAAAGGCTTTTATACAGTATATTAAAAATTTGTTGATAAAAAAAATCCAGTTTCATTTAAAATAATCATTTTACGTTAGAAAAATTACATAAAAATTTTGCATATTTCAAAACTGATACTCGTTACATCTTAATCAATGCAGTGCAATATAACAAGTTTATACATTTAGTAAACATAAATGTATCAAAATTGATACATGATAATTATAAACAAAATTAATAGGCTACATACAATATAACTATTTTGATAGAAGGCTGGAATTTTGTGTGAAAGTAATGGATTTTAGCCTGGACAATCTGTAAAGATTTCACTAATTTAATTCTCTATTTAATCGAAAATTAAATTAGTCAAATTTTTTTCCATCAAATATGCCATATATTAATTTTTTACAAGTTTATTTATAATGTTTATAAATTTTTATAGTATAATCTTTAATTATTAACAAATTCTTAATCATAAAAATAACTAGATAGATAACGAAAAAAGGCGTTTTAGAATAATAAAAAGTAAAAATTTATAATAATTATATACTAAAAAATTTAAACCTAAATCTTATGTCTTTAAATTATATATATAATAATTTATCATTTATAAAAATAAATTCACAGAATTTTTTAGTCTTAATACTTAGAAAATTTTTAAATATTTATTCTTTTGTTAAATTTAATGAAATTCAATTAATCTAACGTATTTGATAAAAAGACAAGGGAAAATTTTTGAATAAATTTGAAAATTAATTTTTAAGGATTAGATTTTTTAATTAAATTTTTGCATAATTTCTTTCTTATGAAAAATTTTTTGTGTGTTATATTTGTTGTTAACGGGAGAAAATAATAAATCCGATAGCAAAAGGGATCACATTATTCGAGATTTTGTAAAAATAATAAATTTAAAAAATGACAGGAAAATTATTTTATTTTTATTTAAAAGTCGATATTCTTTGCTTTCCTTATTCTTGTATTCTAACACACCAGAGATTAAATTATAAGTTATTTTACAAAAAAAGAAACCGTCATCTTTATTGGGCTTCAATTTGAAAAAACTGAACCTATAAATTCTCACTATTGTTCGTCCATCCGTCCGTCCGTCTGTTTTTCCTTAATCTCGAGAAAGGAGTTAGAAAAATGAAATACGAGACCAGATATGGAAACCATATGGACTGGAGGCCCATTAAGTATATACAAGTATGAACTTCCGATGCAAACCGGAGGTTACGTTATTTCCATTCAAATATTTTTTTCCTGAAAGCAGTTAATAGATGACCGGTACGATTCTATTGTTAAAAGAAAACTATGACGTATTGAGGCAAGACACTACTAATAATTTGAGGTGAAGTAGCCTGGCATTGTGACGATGTCACAATAAATAATTGTTTNTTTGTATACCTTAAAAATAATTAATTCTATCCCGGGATTTCGGGAAACAGTTCACTTTTATCCCGGGGATCCCGGGACAAGCAAAATACCGGGAAATGAGAAACCCTAATGGAGAGGATGAGATCTTTCAATTCAAACATGAATGAGACCTTTCTTAAACATAAAAATATAGAATATTTAATAAAACAACAATATATACAAATTGGACCTTTACAATATTAATATGGTTATCACGGAAAGAGAGAGATCACATTTCAATTCAAAAATCATACTACCTCACAAAATATTATATATTCTTCTGTATTCTTTCTATTCAGATTGATGTGAATGTTCATTATTTCTCTAGTTCTTCTCAGGTTTTCGTTCTTGTCCCTTCTTAAATTTTAGGCGGCACTTCATTAAACATTTTCTTTAACTTTGGAACTTAGAAACAAACTTTGTATGAACTTCAGGAGTAGGTTATAGGCATTGGCCGTGGGGAGACAATATGGAATACCTCCTTCTCTTGTGGAATTGCATGGCGTACTCCCCGAATAATACTAAAGAATCCCCTTTTTTGATGTTTTTCTGCAATGGGATTACTGTATTCTTCCCACATGATTAGGAAGAGTGGAGGTTTACAGAGGGGTAACTGTACTGTGTGTGACTCAAAATTTGTGAAGATAAGGGAAAACAAAAAGATGTAAACTTCCATTGAAAAGGAAGTGTGTTTTACCAGTTTCCTTCATTTTTAACTTAAAATTCTTTCATTTAAATCAGAAATATTATTTCTAAAATTATGGATCTGACATAAATATTCAATTACGAAGGGGGGTGTTCAAAATCTCACATCATTCTGTGTTTAAGTGGCACACACCAGTTCTTACATCACCTGAAACTATTGCGCAAATGCATGGTAACAAAGAAACAGAGTCAAGAACAGCTGCTTAAAATAGAGCCATCTAGTTCATCAGAGAGTGAAAAGGATTGTGATGATACTAAATCAGAATTGGATGACTCAGTTTCAATTTGTGCAAAATGCTGTCGCTCTTACACACTGATGAAAAAGAACTTAAATGTGACTGGATCCAATGTGTGCAATGTGCACTGAATTCAAGAGATATGCTTGCCATCTGATCATTTTGGTAAAGTTTGTGCAGAGGATGATTCATAAATATTACTTACATTTACTACTTACTTACCATTACTGATTAATTATTGGGTACCTTCACAATTAAGCATAGATAGTTGTTGATTACTCTTAGTTACCCTTTTAAAAACAACATCAACTGGTATGACACTAACCACAACATGTGTGTGGAGGGGCCATATTACCCTGCCGTTGGTGAAATATGGTTTTTTAAATACTTTTTGATTTCACTCTCTTTTGCAATAACATTTGCTTTGTATTTGGCAAAACTACTATCTGGTATTGTAATTAAATTATAGAAATATTTTCTTAACAATTTTTTTTTGTTTATTCATTTGTATGGTCACAATACAATTATAATATAAAATTAAGTTGCAATATTTCTTAATATTATATATGGGGAAAATGCACAATCTACATTGGCAAACTATGTTGTAGTAACAAAGAACATTTACGAGAACATTAACAGATGATTTCATACAAACTCTTGTATCAAAATTGCATTGTATAAATTCTCTATCATACAAGGATTACCTATATTTACAATTTATTATTTTTTAACTTCGTACTTATGTTTTAAACTTTATCAACACATGGATTAATCAATTAGACTTTATTACAATCTGAACTTTTCCAATATACAGTATACAACCAAAACTATCCTCAGCAGGAAAATAATTAAAACTCAAACACATTACTTTTGCTGAGAAAATGTTTATTAAACATTCACAAATGTTTTCAACCTGTTTTACAACTCATCCTCAGATGCAAACTAGTAACTGTTGCAAACAGAATATTCTTAAATGGAAGTTTTCAAATTTCTACATTTGAACATATTTAAATACAAATCTTGGGATATATCAATTTAAACTAAATGAACATATAATAAAACAAAATAACAAATATAATAAACACAATCAAAAATTTACAAATAATAAACAAATGAGTAACTAAAATTAAAATAAAATAAAGGTAAAAAACAAAGTTAACTCTTAGTTATTAATAATGAACTATCATATACTAATTTCTTCCTCAATGTATTTCTAAACTGATGGCAAACATTAGCATTCCTATTGTGCAGACATTATCCATTATCTTGCTTCTGTAAATTTATATCTTTTCCATGCTCACTGCTAAAATGGTCTGTGTACTGGTTTAATGATGTCAGCTTCCTCCCATTTTACAATCAAGTCTTCCATTTCTGCCATCATAGATAATACAATGCACATTGACCTTTTTCTAAGTATGATATTTAAAATATCTTATCAGAGAAAACAAACAGTCTTTATTTTTCACCTGTATGTCAACAGGTAAAAAATAAAGACTGTTTTCTCTGATGATCTTTCTTAACTTTTGCTGAACAAAGATATTGTTCAGCAAAAGTATAATATGTTCTGTTAATAAAATAAGTCTGAGTAGACATTTTAAATATCACACTATAAGATAAAGACACATAGGCATATGATTTAATTGACCTTTTTTGATGAACTTATTTGCAAATTTTACATCATATTATATTAGCTATTTGTTTTGTTATATATTCATTTAATTTAAATTGATATTACATTTCAAGATTTGTATTTAAATATGTTCAAACAGGAATTTAAAAACTTCATTTAAAAATGTTTTATTTGCAACAGTTGGTAATATATACTCTGTACAAATGGATGATTAGCAGAAAAGTTTGAAAATGTTTGTGAATGTTTATTAAACATTTCCTCTGCAAGAATAAGTTGTTTGTGTGATAAGTACAGTATACAGTAAAATAAACTTATAATGAATCTTACCTCTACAGCACATGCTCCTACAAATGCAACAATGACCGCAACAATATTAACAGTTAACTGAAATTGCAGAAATTTTGCTATACTATCATAGACATTTCTACCCCACATAACAGCTTTCACGATACTTGAAAAATTGTCATCAGTGAGAATGATATCTGATGCTTCTTTTGCGACATCGGTCCCTGCAATTCCCTATAAAAAAACCAAATAGTTGAAAAAAAATCTTTAAAACAATGTAAACACACAAATCCTTCATTTTACAAACAAGCTTTCTGGGAAACTGATCCATTATATAAAATTTCATAATAATGATGATATTTTATTAATTTTAACATGAAAATATACAAAAGTTTTCCCATTTCAACAAACTAAGTTTTTTATTCAAATATGTTCAAATAATAATAAATCATAAATAATAACACAACAAATCAATATTTACTGTATCTATCACCTATATACAGGGTGAGGCAGAAAGGACAGATGTTTTTGAAACGGCTAGAACTCACCGCCAGTTAGGGCCATCCATAAATTACGTAAGGGTGATTTCGGCCATTCTAGACCCCCCACCCACCCCTGTGTAAGAAACCGTAATATTTTCTTTGATCCTCTTCTCCTATCTTACATAATATTTCGGCACGATTTTATAGAAAGATTTTAACCAAAAAATTTTTTTTATGAAATCCTAAAAACCTTAGGTCCAAAATATATAGTAATTAATTAGTTAATTAATTTGTACTATTATTTATAAAAGACTTTATGTGAACAAATTTAAAAACATAAAAATTTAACGAATTTGAATGAACAATTTATTTTAAGAACTTTATTTTTTAATTATTAACATTATTATTATTATCATCAATGTCATAATATTTATTTTTGTATTAATTTTAATTTTCGCAAAAAACACAAAAAACTTTGCCAGATCGACTAGCTAGTGCACGTGTAAATAGAAACGTCATACAAAATAAAACAAGAGAGAATACAGAAAAACCACATTCCGTTGCCATATTGATTACATCTTCGCTAAGGTCAAGAAAATAAACTGCATGCTACTAAAATGTGCTAGGTGCACCCGAGGACTAAATAATAAAGCTTATAAAACTCTATATAATGGGGCAATACAACCAATGCTACTTTACGTGGCCTCTGGCTATGGTCATGTAACTAGTAAAAATTCAGTAGCAATTAAATTACTCTCTCTTCAAAGCCAGTTTGACATCAGAATTTCAAAGTGCTGCAGAACTGCTTTTACTAACGCCTCTCTGATACTAGCAGAGCTCCTTCCTTTGTCACTATGTATTGTAGAAAAGGTTCTAAACTATTACATCAGAACTACAAACGTCAAGGCTCAACAATGGTCTCTACTCCTATCTATGGCTGTTCATATGCTACCACATTGCAATTACCTTACTATCTCTGATCATCATCCTGTAAACAAGGTTATTTGGTATCATCTGCTTCCTCCATGGATAATCATGCTGACATTAATATCTACACAGATGGGTCCAAAAGCTCCCTTCTTGTCGGCTCAAGTATCTGTATCTTCCTACAAACTGACATATTTTGCCAAAAATATGTTAGAAGGTACAGATACCTCTCACATACCTCCATCTATCAAACTGAAGAAGATGCTGACTACCAAGCTGTTCAGTGGACCACTTCACTAGCAAACAAAACTCTGTCTATTAACATTTACAGTGATTCTCAGTCTGCCTTAAAAGCTCTATTAAATGCCAATTGCAATAGCAATAAAATTGCATATATCCAGCACCATATTAAAAATCTTGTAAATAAGATAACTTTTATATATGTTCCTGGCCATATTGGCATACTAGGAAATGAAAAAGCCAACTTTGATCAGCTGCAAAGGACATTGATTTGGACTACACTCACATCCCTCTCTCACATAGCAGCCTTAAAAATTATATTCATGACAACGTTATGCAAAAGTGGAATCAGTAAAAGTAATTGAGCAGTAAAACTGGTAGAATAACAAGACTTTATTTTCTTAGTGTTGAATGTAGGTTCTCATCACTACTTAGAGATTTAATGTTTGCTACTGCTCAACTACTTACTGAGCATGATAATTTTAGAAGCTACCTGGCAATGTATAACTGAGCAGAAACTGCTTCTTGCTTTTGCTCTACAGAAAACCTAGACACCATTGACCATATGATCTATCATTGTCCAATTTACGATCAAGATAGATTTATTCTGAAATTAAAAATTTTTAAGCTTGGTTTCAGGTGGCCATGTCCACTGGATAAGCTTGTTCAGAAACCACTGTTTCATGCTTTTTACAATTATGTTCAAAAAATAAGAAAAGACTATTTCTAATTTCTAGTTTTACATTTTAGTTTTCACTAAAAGCCAAATACTAATTTTATGTTTACCTTGTATCATGTATTTTGGTTTATGTATTCGTAGTGTTATACACTCATAGGAATGGTGCATTTATTCTAATAAAAAACGAGAGAGAAACCACCACACTGCCTTTCTCCCATGACGAAAAATGTGTAGAGTGTGAATCTGCTAGCGTTATTACTCTATCACAGCACATGAGACAGTGAGCGTTCTTAATAGAAACCACCAAATTAAAGCCAAATTCAAAACACCACCACTCAACGAGATCAAAAATTAAAAATAAGAATATTACATAAGACGAGATCTGTTACCCCTACCCGATTAAGAAATCGTAAGAAATTCTTGACCCCACCCACCCCAAAATACCTTACATAATTTATGGATAGCCCCTTAGAATGGCAGATTTGTGGCAGGTAGTGTGAAAGTAGTGAGGTCTTAGCATTGTCTTTTCAGTTGAAGGCATGAAGCCATGAATGATAGAACACAGTGTGTTTGCATACGACTGAGGAAACAGTCTTACACAAAGGGGATTGTTCAATCATACACATCTGATGGGAATACGTTTCTGCATCCTTGCATACAATGGAAACGTATTCCCATCAGACATGTATGGTTTCAACAGGATAGTGTAATGGCAAACGCAACTAGAACATCAATTGACGTTATTCGTTGTCTCTTCCCTAGTCACCTCATTTCCAGGTTTGGTGACATTCATTAGTGAGGTTGCGATCAAAGTTTTCAATGTAAAAACGTGTATGTCAGACATTCAGTACCACCTTCCTGTATGCCTAGAAGTTTGACAATTGCATTTGGAATGTCGAGCATGATTCCACTGATGTTCCAAATGCCATTGTCAAACTTCTAGGCATACAGGAAGATGGTGCTGAACATCTGACATACACGTTTTCTCATTGAAAACTTTGGCTGCAACCTTGCTATTGGCCTCCTCCTTCACCCAACTTATCTATGTGCAATTATTTCTTGTAGGAAGACCTCAAGGCATGTGTATATGAGCATAAGCCCGTTCTTTGCAAGAACTGAAGAAAACTATTTGCATGGAAGCTGCCAAAATTACCTCCAGAAATGCATCACTGATAACAGAGTTGTTGTTTTCTACACATGATTCTGTGAAATGCTATTTCAATACAAACTCACATCTTCCAACAAATATCTTGTAGTAACAATTACAGATAAAGTGATTTTTTTAAAATGTCCATTCTTTCTGCCCACCCTGTATAACTATGTTACTATTGTATTCAACAGATTATTCTAAATTTATTTATTTAAACTTATTTGTACAGTAATAGCCCGAACTTACGCGATAGGTGGGACTGAGCAATAACCGCGTAAGTCGAGGTATAATTTTGCAATTTGTGTAAAATCCAAGTTGGATGTATTTAAGCTAATAAATGTTCTCGTTAATCTTATCTCGTCTTTCGATTCATTCACGGTTACGAGAAGTCACTGCATAGAGTCTCTCGAGTCTCCATAGATATAACAAACAGAAATAAATAACACAAAATAAATTGTAGCTATGCGTCGATTCCGCGCGGTACGTCTGAACATGTAAGCTGAACAATAGTGTGGGGGGAGTGAGTAATCGAGAGTTGTGTGGCGCTCAAACAAAAGAAGAATCGACGAGATTTGAAAATTGCGTAACTCTGGGTTCGCGTAAGTCGAGATATTACTGTATATAAAGTAATTTTGAAAGATAAAAGTTCTATAATAGTATATTATGCAATTAGTTTATAATATAGGCGATTATGGAATGAATGGAAATTTGGCACACAAATGGAGCAAGTGGGCCAGTTTCCATAAATGCCATAATTACTAATTATAAATGAATTGTGATGCAGTATTTTGTGGTTAGACTACACCTATAACCAGGGCTGAAAAGTCAGTAAAAAAACACTCAACTCAGACTTCTGATAATTTTAGTAGTCTGACTCTGACTCTGGCAAAATTAAATACCAAGTCATTTTATGGGGGCAGAGGCACTCACAGGGGGTTACCCTACTCTGAACTCTGAAAGGAACCCCAGGCATTTATCCAAATACTTTTATAGTTAGTATTTTTAATATTTAACTTACATTAATATTTTATTTGTATAAAAAAATTAATTTTTAACAAATATTTAATAAGAGGAAAAAGGGGAGTGATAAAATTCTACATCTACATATCTTTATTCTAGATCTATTGCATTTCAATTTCACCTTTCCAGAAAAGTTAGTGCAACTAAAAAGTGTGCAATCTAGCTACTTCAGCCTCTTGTTCAGAAAAGAAAAATATATACTCTGATCAATTAGTCTGGCTCATTCAGAAAAATGAAGTACTTATTTAGAGCAGGGATAATAAAGGAATAAATCAAAAGTATTCAAATTCAATTGGGTCAAGATAATTTAACTACTAAACACAAACACTACAAAGAAAACTATTGATACATATTTAATAAATTAAATTGTTGCATTTTGTATTTAAAATAAATGAATTATAACAAAATATAAAAACATTTTTAAAAATTACTAAATATAAAATAAATTTTCTTTCATTTAAATAAAAAAAACTAAATTAAATTTAAAATGCCAGGTCAAAGTCGACACATTTTTCCTCGGGCCAGAAATTCCTTCAGACTCCACAGTCCCACCTATAACACTATACTTATGAAACTCAAAATAATGTATAAACACAGTGTTTGCGCAACCATGCCATAAAATTTTTTTGGCATGGATGCCACAAACACTGTTTATACACATTTTTGAGTTCCATAAGTATAGTCAACCACAAAAGATGCTATTGCACATACAGTTGAATATTGACTAATCTATGTGAAATAAATAGAGAAAACAATAAGTTTTAATTGTTTTATTTGCATCATAATTATATATTTAAGATGAAAATATTTAATAAATTTATATTATATGGATATACTTACCCAAATGATGAAAAATAGTGTAACAGAAAAAAAAATATTTTTGTTCTGTTAATGTAAAATTCCTTGAAGTAAATATCTGTGTACTGAGGAATGATCTTATTAAAAAAATTTTGATAATAAACTTGTTCTTTTCTGCATTTTTTATGTTATATATACAAATAAAACTTAACATGATGTACTCTTAAACAACTAATGTTTAAGTCTAATGTTTATTATTTCAAAATATTACTATTTGGTTTGTCTGTTTTTATCCCTTATTGATTTTTTTTCATTTATTTAAATTCTTTGGAGTCAGTCTTAATGAATACTGGATTTTTCATTGACAGCTACTTTTTCCAATGACTTTAAAGAATATGATACATGGGCATACTCACTTTATACACTTTGTTTTACAGTAATTTACTAATATAGCACTTTTCACTACTAACGTTTTGTGAAGTCATTCTTGTCCACCAGACACATAAACACCATCAAAAATTGTCAACATTCAGAATATTTTAACATCAAATCCTGTTAATTTATTTTTCAAATAATCCAAGTAAATTATTAAATTATTATGATTTCATATAATTTATGAACAGAACTAATTAATAATTTATAATTATTTATCCACAATTACTGTTATAATATAAAATGCATTAGATACCATTGCAAAACCAACATCAGCCTTTTTCAATGCTGGGCCATCATTTGTGCCATCCCCCGTTACGGCCACGACTTCTCTATTCGTATGTAATTTGCTATCGATAATTCCTTTTACTAGTGTATATTTGTCCTGGGGAGATGATCTGGCCAATACACGTAATCGAGGCCATACTTTGTCTAATAACTGTTGTTCAACCTAAAAACAATAAAATTTTTAATGTGAAATATTACTTATAAAAAATAGTGATAAAATTTAAAATGTAGTTTATTAAAAAATATTTTGTATTTATGTTAATAATATAAAATAAAAATTTGATCAATCATTAAAATTTATTTTGTTAACTATTTTGCTATTTGATAAATACAAGATCATGGATTTGAATAAACAAATATATCAATTAATATTCATGTTTCTGAAATTAAATCTCTAGAATTAAATCTGTTAAATCTTAGCCATTAGACTCAATTTGGAATTTGATATTCAATTCATAAAATTCAAATCTTCAGAAAATATCAATATTTAAAAGTAATAGAAATAATACTCTGGTTTAAATGATTAAAGTCAAAAGCTGTATTTACAACAGAAGCAGGAGAAAGTTCTAACTAGAACCAAACCCTATTCACTCCATACTTCAAAATACTTTGTTTTCATTAAAGCAACACCAATTCTATTAATTGTAAATGGATCTGCAGATAATGAACATTATTCTATTAAATGTAACTAAATTATTACAAAAGTTGCTTCTAGTCCTTGATACAATAATATCAATTAAATTAAAATATCCACAACTGTGAGGCAGATAATAGTGAGGGCTTATCAGACCAAATGACGGGCACAAACGCTCAGAGATTAAAGTGAAAAAAATTTAATAAACACAAAAGGTTACTACATAAGTATGAAAACGAAAACCCAAAATGCATTTCGGACTGTTTTCTAACAGAAAACAGTCCCTCATCAGTTGGTGTTAGTTAAAGGTATTGCCATAATAGAATTAAACAAAGTAACGGTCAACTTAAAACTAAGCTTAAAGTTATACAATATATAAGTTGAGGACACCACTGTAATGGTGTGAGTAGTAAGCATCATCAGTAAGTATTATCTAAAGTAGGTGGTATATTAAAAATTATACAAAGTAAGGTGAACTTAAAAGCTATGCCTAAAACTATACAATATAAAGATGAAGATGCCAATATAACAGTATATATACCAAATATAACAGTATGAGCAGTAGGCAATATCAGTGCAGACAGGTGTAATAAATCTTCATGACCTTGCATGGTAGGATGACATACAGGGTGCTGATACAAAACAGTTATAAGTTAGACAATAATTAGTTAATGCTAATAGACTAAAGTTATACAGGCAGGTAATGTACATACCAAAAAGTAAGATGACAGAGTAGCAGGTGCCAGCTTACAACAAGGTGCTGGGAGTGGAAGTGAGGGAGGTGTGTGTCAGTCCACATCTGGTGTACAAGTGGTGACAACATGTGATACAATTACAGGTTCCTAATGGTTTAACCAGTACATGTGGACATTACATCACAAAGATAATTTAGTTTTTAAAAGATATAATTATACCATCCTTCGTCAATTTTAACACTTAAGTTATCATTAATTCTATTAACATTATCAATTTTTAAAATCTCTGTGCTCAAGATATTTACATTTATAAGTGTTGGTTTCAAATTTTATTGCTTTTATAGTACTTTTGTTAATTTCACAATCATATAGGTTGCAGTGTTTGGCAACTGCAGAGTATTCAGAATTGTATTTGATGGCATTTATGTGTTCTTTTATACAAACATTGAGACATCTTTTAGTTTCACCTACATAGGTCATAGGGTTATTACAGCTACAGTTAAACCTGTATATCACGTTGCTTATTTTAAGGATATTAACCATATTGTGTTAACCATATTCATACTTATGTAGTAACCTTTTGTGTTTATTAAATTTTTTTCACTTTAATCTCTGAGCGTTTGTGCCCATCATTTGTTCTGATAAGCCCTCACTATTATCTGCCTCACGGTTGTGGATATTTTAATTTAAATAAACATTATCTTTAAAAATAACAACTTTTATTTAGCATCCATTGGCAAACTTGCTTATTGATAATTAGAGGGAGCAAAGATAATACTTCAAATAAAAAATACTTGACAGTGCACAGGTACACACATTTTGAAGTGTTATTTTCTCTAAATTTCCAAATTAGATAAATTAAGCTGTATTATTATTATTATTATTATTATTATTATTAATTTTTTTTTTTTGGCACTAAAAACTTTACTTTTTTCTAATTTTTTGTTAAATTTTTCTAAATTAAAAAGACAAAGGAACACTTAGAGCCTGTACACACTAGGCGTTTTTCAACGCGCGTTTTAAAGAACCAAGAGTTCTATGTAGGTGTACACACTCAAACGCGTGCTTTTGGCCAAACGCGTGTTTATAGATTTTTGTTAAAACACGCGTTTTGCGGGCGTTAGCCGAGCGCTTTGAGATATATGTGCTGTCATGTTACTGTACATTCGATCACGCGTTTTGCGGGCGTCAGCCGAGCGCTTTGAGATATATTTGCTGAAATGGAGAACGATCATTTCGATACTTATCTATTTATTGATGAAATCTAAAAGAGACCAACCATTGTCAAAGAATTTTATAGATATTTTAAAAGAATTAAAAAACTTGAATTTATTTTTTCTTAGTTTTGGATACAACGTCGCAAACATTTCATGCGTCAGTCTATCTCGTAATATTGGTTGCACCCAAAATTCTCTTTGCCTCTGCCATCGTCTTTTATAGCGACGATAGAGGAGCCACACACAAGCAATCACTTCCACATCCATTTCCAAACCAAGCCAGTGCGCACGCTCCGCTAAACGCTTGTCGAACGCCGCGTGTTAGCTCGGCGTTTAATGTGCGTTTAAAAATGCCTAGTGTGTACACAGCGTTAATATTACTAAAGAAATATATGAATAGTTCATTTTTATTTATATTTAAAACGTATATTGTTACCTAAAACACTATTTTTTTTTATTTAAAAAACTAAATATAATATAAAAAGTATTGTTATAAAACTAAATCATCATGTGTAATTGCTTATGTATTATATAATTAAACATACAAAACTAAACTTTTAGGATTCACTGAATCTACAAATTTTGACATTTAATTTTGCAAATACAGAAATACTGTATTGAAACTTCGGAAATCTAATTTAGTCATATTAGTCTAAGAATCTGGCATTTAGATGTATACATTTGATCATTAAAGTTTGGATTTAGATGCTTGCTTATATATATTACATATACAGTAATACCCCGACTTACGCGAATCCGGAGTTACGCGATTTTCAAATCTCGTCAATTCGTCTTTTGTTTGAGCACCACGCAACTCTTAATTACTCATTTCCCCCCACACTATTATTCGGCTTACATGTTCGGACGTGTTCAACATATAGCTACAATTTATTTTGTGTTATCTGTATGTATTTATATGCAAAATTATACTCCGACTTACGCGAATTAGACTTACGCGGTTATCGCTCGGTCCCACCTATCGCATAAGTTCGGGGTATTACTGTATACAATTATTTTGTGTATTTATTCTAACAACAAAATTAATGATAAAAAACATCATCATCAAAGAATATTATGCAAGACATTTTTCCTTATTAAAATCAATTTCTGAACCAAGCAGTAATTTTAAGTCAGGCAACTAAAAAGTTTGATATATTTTAAATTCCATTAAAATGTAACTTAAATATTTCACTTACATCACCATGGCTATCACGTATTCTTCGATTAAACTCCTTTCCTTCAATTACAAGAAAATCTTCTCCAGGCTTTATAATTCCACATTTCATAGCAATTGAGCGAGCTGTATTTATATTATCCCCTGTTACCATTCGAACAGTTATTCCTGCTCTCTGACATTTCTTAATAGCTTCTGGTACCTATATATATATATATTTATATATATAGTATATGCATAAATCAATGAAATTACAAAATATAAATAAAGGTAATACATATAAATTAAAATTAAAAGTGCTAACACAATAAAATTATTCAATCAGTAAGTGTTTCTATTTTAAAAAAGTGTCTGGAATGTTGAGAGTTAATGACTTAATATTTGAAATATGGAAAAACAAAGGGGTTAAAAAGTTTTTTTAATAAACTCTTTTGGTTCCAATCTTATAATGTGCAATGTAAATCTAAGATTTACATAATTATACGATGATTAATAATCAATACATTTTTAACTTTGTTGTAAAAACATGTTATTTTAAACAAATATCTTTCACAGCATTTAAGTTTATTTTTTAATGTGTGTATCAAAAGTATTTAAAATAATTAATTCATATCAAAAATACAATCAAAATTAGAAAATTTTTTTTAAACTTTAATTATTTTATTATTTTAACTGAATACTTTCACATTTCAAAATTTTTAGTTACATTAAAGCAGTAAAACTTTGAAAGTTTATTTTCTCCAAGAATTAAAAGTACAAACTTTAATATTAAACATTTTAATACCATTTCAATTTTTAAAAATTGTAAAAATATTGTTATAAATCAAATGAAATTTATTATTTAATATTTATCTATCTGTTGTTATGAAAGATGTCTATTGAAGACTGATGTTGCTTAAACAACATCAGTCTTCTTTCATATTGTATATTGTTATTTTCTTCTAATTTCAAGCTGTAAATTCAAATTTACATCATTGTTGGATCTATATCATAATTTATTGAACATAACTCATTTCAAAAATTAGTTTGTGTTCAGAATTTGCATTTTTATAAAAGTTCTCTACTCAATGCTGCATTATAAAGTAATTTCTATACTAGTCTAAATCATAAAATTTCTTATGCATATCTTGTAATTCTGATTCATTTTTCTAAATAAAGTAATAATTAGATAAAAAGACCATAAGAAAAATCTAAGGTTACAGAAATACAGCAACATCATAATAAGATCTTCTATTTTCCTCCTCTAAATTCACAAATATAAAAATTTATTTGCATTTTCAATAAACTATAGAAGATATTTTTTTTTTTTTACAAATTTGCTACTGTTATCTGAATTCCCTGTTATAATGTAAAATTAATCCCATTTTACTATCTGATAGAAAAATAGGTCAATTAGAGTTGTTTATGTAAAAATTTTTATATAAGAGTAATTATTGTTAGAGAGACGTTACGTGAAATTGTTGAAATAAACAACAAAATTATTCAAAATCAAAATTTTGCTGTCTTACTTTTATTATTATTGTGTTACTATATTCCAAATCTATTCTTTACATATAAATACTTATCTTAAGATCAGCACATTTTTCCCATAAAAAAAAAGGAAAGAGAAGGGGAGAAAATAGAAACCTTGATACTAGGAATTAATGAATTGTTACAAAACTTTTAAACAAGTAAATGAAGTCTCTGGGGCAAGTGATAGCAGCTGTATATAATATGTAGTAAAGTTCAAATCGTGTCCTCTGATTTCCAGATCTGTGGTCCATTAGAAAGGAATTTAAATCTGAGTTCATTTATTTGACAAGTACTTACTACATAATACACAGCAATATTTCTTACATGCATCTAACAACACAGTCTTAGGCCAGGCTTGTTTCTCCCTGTTCCAATGATTGCGTTGCATTATCTAATTTTTAGATCCGTTGGCCGACCAATCCGGAGGCGAGCTTTCTATCGAGTCTGCCTTGACTTGTCCAGGATGACTTGCCAATAAACTTTTCCAGAAAACGTGTTCCAACAAGTAAAAACTTGACTTAGTTTATCACTACTCAATAGGCCTCCTTGACATATGTATAGTGGATATCATCTCATTTGCCATATATATATAGTATATACCAAGTAAGATATTGGATACACACAAGAAATCTGTGGGGCAATTACTGTTCACTCCATAAGATCTGCTCATTTATATTATTTAGCTGACAGATACAATGAATTGTATGCCTTTTTGCATCTGTCTAAATTACCAACAAACACAATATCCGGTAAAGACCACCAACAAATCCCAGCACTTATTGTTAAACTGCAGCCATTATCCTGCCTCACTGTTTAGAGGCCTGCAAATTGTTTTAAAATCATTGGACAATAGAGATGGGGTTTCTGTCTCTTCACACATTTTTGACCTGGATGTTTTCTTTCTACAATTTCTTTTCCCACCCTCGACAGGTTTGATGCAGATACAAATATCCTTTTCAGTCTAGTTTGATTTCATTTTCTTCATCTTCCTATTTAAAGGGCAATCTTCCCCCCTCCCCACAGCCTTGTCCAGATGTATTTGTATAAATTCAGTTTATATTTTCCGATGAATATGAATACATCATGGGCAAAGCCATAAAAATGAAATCAAACCAGAATAAAAAAGGTATTTGTGTCTGTGTGAAATCAATTTAGGGTGGAAAAAAGAGAAGTCATTGACAGAGTTGGAGCTTCAAGTAAGACCCTTCTGCTTAAAATAAAAAATTTTTGGCCTGTCCCACCTTTATCAAACAACAACTAAGTTCTGTTCAACCATTAGCTCCATATATAGAAAAGAGGTCAGCAAAATGTTCATCAATACACTGAGTATGTTAGAGTCAAAGATCAACACCACCTAATGAGTGGAAAAATTACAAGAATATGTTATAGTTTCACAGAAACAGTCACAACAAGAAATTTTACATCCTGGCTACTTACAGCCATGACCTGTTCTGGAATTTTTTAAAATGTCATAATGCATTAAATAAGTACTCACTACACCACACTAACTTAAAAATTATGCACACAGAACCAATTTACGTTGTGATAACATTGAAAAACATCGAAAAACAAACATTTTGAACCCCTTCTGGGCTCTGCATCAGGCTCTAACGGTTTTTAGATGGGAATTTTATTAACGAATGCCATTTAACTAAGACTTCAATCTTGAGTTTGAAACAATTTACATCACACATGCGCGACGGGTCGGCCTGTCCGGAGATGCTTTTGTCAATGGTCTGTGCCAGACCATTGACAAAAGCATCTCCTCTTTAAAATTTATGCACGTGGTTGTGACGGAGGATTTAAGATGTGCATAGCCTCTAACAATTTGAGATGTTCATTGGGAGGTGCAGCAAGGAGGAGATTGGCCCAAGTAAAGTTGGCTACTATGTCTGGGTCCGTTACGTAAGTAGCGAGGGCTGTGGAGGTTCTCTCGTGAGGAATATCAGCCTGATGTTCCTGCATTCTGATGACCATGGATCGTTTAGTAGAGCCTATATATATCAAGTGTGAGGACCCAACCAAGGTCCGAAATCATGTAAATCGCAGTATTCTTATGATTAAATAATAACGATAGATTAAATATGAGAGAAAGAGGAAAATCCCATAATTTAAACAATAAGGCACAAAATGTAAACAACGAGACCCGGATGACTCCAACACATGTTAAATGAACTGTCATTGTCAAAATGAAAAGTTATAAGTCATACACAAGTGATCATAAACAGGTAGAACTTTGACCCAAGCGATCATAAACAATAGATCTAGGGAAAGAATTTCGGAAAAGAGAGAAAGATTTAAGAGAGAGAAATCATTGCATATGATCGTTTGAGTACCCCCAATGACAGAAATTGCGAGTTATGGAGCTAAATTATGAGTGCGAGTCTTGCAATTTGCGGACCTTTCCCGTGACCTGAGTTGGTCTCGATTTTCCCCAAAACAAAAGAGAGACCAATCGGGAAGTGAGGAAGGGGACGAGGGGCCAATCAGAAATCCGAATAGTGGGAGAAAAAACTATAAAAATCCGAAATTCAAGGTCGGAGGAAGCTATCCTCCGTATTCCACGAAAGGTCATGACTTATATTGTGGTGTGTCATCGCCAAGAACTTTGGACTCCGCCGCTTCCTCCTTCTGATTGTCCGCCTTGCTCAGTGACCTCATCTCGTACGCGCCGGGGCCAGACAGACACCGAAGTTCTCGCCTCTCCGACAAGAAGAACCTAGTGAAGGACTGTTGATTGTCAATGTAAGCATAAATGTTAACAAATAAACGGCTTTCTTGTGTAAAACACTTGTCATCATTTGCCTCCTCTGTCACAGCCCACATACAACCTTCCCTTAGGTTCATCCTGATGCGGGATTAATAGATCCCACCTAGGAGACGGCAACCTTACACAGGTGGAGTTCAAGTCCCCTATCTCCACCGCGTCAGCTACTTTACACAAGTCCCTATTGAATCTAATATCTCTTAAAGGGACATTATAGATTCCGGGACATCTGCTGGGGTTAGAAGTATCTGGTGCTTCTGGCAACCTTGGCATATATAGATCTTAAGTATGGGCTATAGGTGATAGGGATCCGTTCCATGTCTTCCGGTTGGTTATCAATCAATTGGTCCACCACCTGTGTGCTGTCCGAATACATCTGGTGATAATGTTGTATCATCCTATGTACAGTAATACCTCGACTTACGCAAACCTGGAGTTACGTGATTTTCAAATCTCGTTGATTCGTCTTTTGTTTGAGCGCCACGCAACCCTTGATTACTCATTCCTCTCACACTATTGTTCAGTTTACATGTTCAGATGTGTCGCGCGGAATCAACACATAGCTACAATTTATTTTGTGTTTTTTATTTCTGTGTTTGTTATATTTACGGAGACTTGAGAGACTATGTGGTGATTTCTTGTAACCATGAACAAATCGAAAGACGAGATGAGATTAACAAGAACATTTATTAGCTTACATACATCCGACTTGGATGTTACACATATTGCGAAATTATACCGACTTACGCGGTTATCGCTCGATCCCACCTATCACATAAGTTCGTGGTATCACTGTATAACTTTGCGATAACCATGTTCTGTGGTTACCTATTCTATAAATGCTAGCTCAGTATCCCGAGCCTGGATGTTAGAAGAATGTGTAAAGACCGTTCTGATTAAAGCTTTAAATGTTGCAGTCTTGT